CCAGTAGAATAAAATTTCATTAACAATTCATCATCCCATTACACAAGAAAGGACCTCTATATCTAGGCCTAAGAAACTAAAACAAGACACATATGCCCCTAAGGCTTACATAGGACGACCCTCTTAAGTGAGGGTAAAAACGAAAAATTCATAATAAAAATTTAAAAATTACAAATAAAATGTAAGATAACGTGGGACGATTACAGCCGTTGATCTTCAGCTCCTCGGATAGCCATGGGACGGTAGGATGTCCGCATCAATCTTGCTTTGTGTTTGCTTTTGTTTTGAATCCACTATTACAATCTATCGTGTTGGATTGATTTCATCTAGATTATCACATTATTCCCGCTGTTTTTATCAATTATTGCTAGGGTTGCTTGCGAACTCAAGTATTTCCTCTTGGATTACTTGCGAACTCAAGTATTTCCTATCGGAAATACAGAAAGAATAACAAACCTTGAAAGTTGAAACCTGAATTGTTTACGATGCTGATTGAATTTGGCCTCCAAATTTGAAGTGGATGTCAAAATATTGGAGGACTTAATCTGATCTTAGGAGCAATATGATAGGCTTGTTTAACATAAAATAAAAGAAAACACGGACGTGAACTTAAATACAACGCAATTTGTGTTCACTTTTTTGTTTTTTACAAGTTTATATTTTCAGAATTCATGAAAGAGCTTTATAGATCATTTTTTTCCGCCAATGATTCAGTAGACGAGTACTTTTTTACACCTAATGTCTGACATGTTATATGGTCGTTTTTTTAAATGATTTCATGGTTGTTGATTACTATGCATGTTTAAGCATCATCAAGTTCTATTTTTCCTCATGGTTGTAGGATATACAAATTGGGCAAAGAATGATGACCATATCCACTGTTGGTGTGCCGAACACAATCAAGATGTTGGCATCACACAAACTTCAGTCAACTTTGGCTGTCAGGTGAATACACACCAACAAATCATAACTTATGTAATTTTCATCAACAAAAAATCTATGGTGTGGGATTTTGTCATTTCTTTGCTTGTTTTCATGTGACTTAGAGCATCTCCAATGGAACGGCAAACAACTGTTTTGTTTGCTGTTCTTACGTTGCTCCAACCGAGCGTCAATTCTTACGCCATTTCATCGTGGATGAACAGTGCGACGCCAATATTGGCGTTGCACTGTTCATCTTCGCCATTTTTTGGTCTCTATGGAACTTGCCGAAGAAACGCGCAAACGACCTTTACAGGGTAACATGGCGTTCGATTGGAGATGAATCACGGTATTATTTAGTTTCACGGCATTTTGGAGTGAAAAATGAGATTTTCGGTTGGAGATGCTCTTATATTATTACTTTTGGTTGGGTGGAGGAGAGAGATTGAAGTATTTATATTGTCTAACATCACAAAATTCATTTTAAACAAAAATTCTTACACCTGCATTATCTTGTTTCAGCCTCCATGCTCCTAACCAAAAGATACGTGAGGAAATTATTCCGAGTGCAAAATCCTACCCATTGGATGCAATTATGCATGATTGCAAGGAGTATTTCCTGGAAACTGGAAGGAGGGTGTCTTTCGAGTATACACTTTTAGGTGAATTAGCACTGTTTTTCATAATCCTTATTAATACAAGAAGCCAAATCATTCAAATTCACATTTAGGTTTCATTGAGACAGTTTTATCATGACTTTTTAAAGTAAATTTTTAGTTTAAAAATTTCTTGAACTAGAAATTTTTATACTAGAAAGCTATTTTAGAAATCAGTAAGAAAATTATCCCAAATAAGGCTTTGTTTGGGACGATTTTTTTATTGCTTCTTGAAGCAGCTTTCTAATATAAAAATTTTAATTTTTATACTAAAAAACTGCTTCAAGAAGCAGTAAAAAAATTGTCCCAAACAAAACCTAAAACCTGTCTTGATTTTTAAACTTTTATTTGTTTCTTAGCTGGAACAAATGATGCGGTAGAACATGCAGTAGAGCTGGCTGAGCTTCTCCACTGCTATGGCCGTGGTTCACATGTCAATCTCATACCGTTCAATCCAATTGATGGTTCTGAATACAGAAGGCCATACAAGAAAGCGGTATGGGACTCTTTTAAAGTTTTCTGCTTTATCTAAAGCTATATTAGAGTGAAATTTCTCTTGCAATGCTCATGGGTGTCAATCCTGTTGAGCCAATCTGATTTGATAAAAACTAGTTTATTTATGCATTTACGAGGCTGTGCTCCTACAAGTATTAAATGCCTTGCTTATAATCCATTTGCATAAGAAGAATCCCTCGACCTTTCTCGTTTTGCAGGTTTTAGCGTTTGCTGCAGCCTTAGAGGATAAGAAGATAACTGTAACTGTGCGACAAACGCGTGGGCTTGATGCAAGTGCGGCTTGTGGACAGCTCAGAAATGACTTCCAGAAGAGCCCTCTGCTTGAAGTACCAACTACAGAGTCTCAACTCTCTCCGTTATGAAGCAGAAGCTGTCAGCCTATGTTGCACTGATACACTTATTTATGAAGATGTGCTGTATCAAATACGTGTCGGACATAATACGTGTCCGATACGGCACCGATACGTGTCGGATACGTCAAAGCCATTTCCAATTAAAATATTATTTAATTTCAAAAGGACACGCGTATCGTTTGGTTGAAAGACGAAAAAAATCGGGGAAAAAATGCGTCATATTTACTTCCGTGGCTACGAGCGAAGTTCTCTCATTTTCGAACCCGCAAGCTATTTACATTTATGTTAATTTACTAGAAAATATGATATTTGGACATCAATTATTTTGCATTTGTATTCCTTTGATTTTTGATTCATGTATTAAAAAAAATCATGTTATTGTGATTTGTATGTCTTCTTAAATGGAAAAAAAAAAAGTTTAGCTCTTATATGTCATTCACCAAATCATGTAACAATATAATTAATGAAATTATTTCATAAAATTCTTATTAGGCAATGAGTTTTAACTCTTCCCTTGACTCAATGCTTATTTTTATTTTGATATTATAAGCTACAAGGCTACAAATGATGTTGCTTTCATTTTTTTTTTGGTCATTTCAAATATTATGCTTTAATTGTTTTCTTAATTTTTTTATGTATGATTCATAAATTATAATGATGTGTCCGCATTGTATCTGTATCCTGTATTTTTAAGAATTGACGTGTCTTGTATCCGTATCATGCTGTCCACTAATGCCATAGCATAAGAAACTCATGGTACCTTAATGGGATATATAATGAGGTGCTGAAGAGGGTAAAGTTGGAAGTATCAATCTCCTATTCATAAGAACCAGTAGTAGCTGCTCCCGATGGCGAATGCTGTGCAGCCAGCACGGGAAAAAAAGTTTTCAACATTACAGATTCAGGAAGAGAAGTCAAGCACTCAAATTTTGTAGGATTCTGCAGCAGATTTTGTCTTCATTGATCACTCTGGAGCTTGTGAGCACTATTGTTTGAATCAAGGCATTCAAATAGTTAATCTTATTTCATTTTCATTGAATTTAGAACTGTTGCCTGTTGGAGCTTCAGATTTGGGAGCTTTGTGGAGGCATTTTTATGTAAGTTATTTTGTTTTGGAAGTACCAAATTCTATACTCCTGGCTTTATCATTGCTTGATCTGCGGGCAATGTTTTTTTTTTTTTTTTAAATTAATGTACTATTTTATAATTATAATTTTGTTAATTTAAAAATAATTCTCTTTGCTAAATATTAAAATAATTTAATTAATCTCAAATCAAATTATATATTGTTAATGTTTTAAAGATGACAAATAGAATATCTAATATTTTAAAGGTTATTATTGCAAAATAAGATTATTTTTTAGACAAAAAAATACTTATTTAATTAGGAGTACGAAATATTTATCAATTTGATCTTTATAAGCTATCCTTATATATATAAGGCAGCTTCTAAATTTCCTAAATTATTAAAAATAATGAAATTTTTTGTTAAATATGTAAAAACAAATTTATAGATTAATAATGACAATTTTACTCTTGCATCTATTACGCAATGACAACTTGCTGGCTTACATTAAAATAAAAATAAAAATAAAAATAAAAACGCCAAAATGGCAGGAAATTAACTCAGAACAATAATAAATACTTCTGCTGCTTTAATTAGGCCGATCATATTTCCATTTTCCATTCAAATAAGCCCTTACCCTCCACCGCCAAGTGCCAAGCAGCTTAGATCCTGCCTGCAAACTTTCCATCTATGGTTCTGGAAAAGCCCAACTTAACCCCAAATGGGTGCTCACACCGCTGCGGTGACCGCAGCAAACACACTCACAAGTCCGGTGTCAAACCCCAAGAAGAATATTTTCACTGTTGCCCAACTTCGACTGGTTCGCTCTCCTCACGACTGATCTATTTCCACATTACAAAACCCTAGCGCCCATTGCGAAAGGTAAGTGCTTTCTTCCTCCCAATGGCCGGCAACGACTCCTCCGACGAGGACTCAGAGTTCAGCGAATCCGAGCTCGATGACTACGCTGATAAAGCTTATTTGGGTTTCAAGGATGGAAATCACCGAATTCTAAACCCTGACGGCACCTTGCGTTGTCCGTTCTGTTCAGGGAAAAAGAAGCAGGACTATCAATTCAAGGACCTGCTTCAGCATGCAATTGGAAGAGGCTCTTCGACCTCGAGAAAGGCTAAGGAGAAGGCCAACCACCTCGGCTTTGCTCGATTCCTCCAAAACGACCTCGCCCTTGCTGCTGGGCTGGTAGTTACTCCTCCTCCACCGCCGACCGCTGAGACGCCATCATCCAACAGTAGTTCGAGCACTGATGAGCTCTTCGTGTGGCCTTGGGTGGGAATGCTTGTCAATTTGCCCATGGAAGATGAAGGCGTTCTTATAAAAGAGCAATTTTCAGAGTTTAATCCAGTGAATGTCATCTCTTCACATGAGAGAGACCTTGAATCTGGTAAATTTGAGGCTGTGATTTGGTTTAATAAGGATTGGAAAGGGTTCAAGGATGCAATGGCATTTGAAAATCATTTTAAAGGAAAGCGGTTGGGAAAAAAGGATTGGAATGAGAAGAAAGGTGTGAACTTGACTGGGATTCATGGGTGGATTGCTCGTGATGATGATTATTATTCTGATAGGCTGGTTGCAAAGATTCTGCGGAAGCATGGGGAATTGAAGACGGTGGCGGATGTGACTGAGGAGCAGGCGAGGGAGAATGGTATGGTTGTGGCTGCTCTTGCGAAGAAGATGGAGGTGAGGAATAAATACTTGCAGGAATTGGAGTGCAGGTATAATGAGACGAGCATATCGCTTAAAAACATGATGGATGCAAAAGCTAAAATTTTGCAGGAGTACAATGAAGGTGAGTTAGCTTTCATCGTTGCTTCAGATTTAATCTTGTTGTAACTATTGCATTTACTAGAAGAAATGATAACAAGATGAGAACTTTGCTTTTTTATTTCGTTAAATTGATGTCGGTCATCTCTATTTGTGCCAGCTAGTATATAGTAGGTGCATCTGCATTCTTAATGTTTTGATCTATTGATCTATGCTCTTTTTATTATCGGCGCTTTTAACTTTCTCACTAAAGTTTATTACAGTATTTAGTTTTTGAGATATATATTCATGCCTTTATTAATATTCTGTTTTTGTGTCTAGGACGCATTTGTCCCGTCCATCTTAACCAAGCTGCTGATTTTTCTACTTAAGATTGGGAGAGGAAATAATTAACAGATTAAAGAAGGATGTTATGATAAGTAGGATCATTTAGGCTCCGTTTGGGATGGCTTTTTTACTGCTTCTTAAAGCATCTTTCTAGTAAAAAAATTTTAATTTTTTACTAAACAACTGTTTTAAGAAGCAGGAAAATAGCCGTCCCAAATGAACCCTTAGTTACATGCCATGTGTTTCACGGCAATTGTTCAAATGAGTGTAATTATTACCTTGCTTCTAGGAGTGTGAAAACGCCTGAAGAAATGAGGAGCCAACTTGGATCAACTGATTTGGGTAAATTCTTAATGGGTCAGAATTTGTATTCCGTTATTATAATTCTTATTACGGAAAGCTCTGTTAGATTTGTATTTTTAGGTGTTCAGGTACCTATAATAGAAGTGATTTCTTTATTTGACATGGTTGGGCTTAGCAAAAACCTTTATTCCTAATTTAATGTATCTTGACTCTCCCAGTGCCCAAATCTAGAGTTCAAATATTTTATTTGGAGAAAATTATAACGTCGTCACAATGTCACATACATTATGATGTTTTGACCTTAAATTTCCTTGTATCGCTAACTTTGTGAAGGAAAAGTTTTAGGTGCTGTAGGTATTGACTATTAGGCTTCATTTCTTGCATGAGATCCATTAGAAAGCTGTTTAGTTTTCCCATTGTCACTTGGACAGCGCATTTAGTAGACATTTGTTTTTAATTATCTGATCCATTATAACAATGATTTGATTGCCTTATTTGACCTATAGCTCATAGTCTTGGATTACAAAAAATAAGCACATTACTTGGGTACCAAGGCGGTACGGGCAAACTCCTTTTGATGCAGGATGTTTAAGGTTTAAAGGTTTCCAATGCAAAGAAAATGATGCAATAAGTGTAGATCACACTAAAGAAATAAGGAAGATCTCTAATTACACAAAATTTGGTTTCTATTGGTGTAAATTTGAAAAATATAAACGTTAAAACCAAATGTTAATAGATTAATTTGATGTACTAAAGAAACCACTAAAAATCAACGAGCAATTGGATTTTTTTCACCTTAATTAACCCATCTGTGATAAATTTGATCAAAATCAAAACTCTTGCAATACCAATAATAAATATTAGAGAAGGAAATAGGTTAATGAAAGAGATCACTAAAATGAAGAAAATCCAGGCCTTGTGGCATTACAAGGAGATATTCTCCCCTGGAATTTGTCTATTGCACCTATATTGCTCTTAATACTCTTAAAGGAATCTCACATTAACTTGTACTCATAAGATTGAAAGTAGGAAGCAAAAATGCTAATATACAAAATTGATTTCTAATACATGTCTTATGTTAGATATTTATAGTCATATAACATCCTGAATCAATTGCCTTGCTTGACTTGGTTCAACTTTTTCTATTGGCAACAAAACGTATCTGGATCGAATTAAGTTGCTTGTATGGCGGCATAAAGTCCATTCTTAAAAAAAAGCTCATGATCAAAACACATAAGCATGGTACTAGCGATAAGAACCAAAGATTGAGCCCGCCTGGTTAAATATAGCAGCAAATCACATTCAAGCAAATTGCCAATTATATCTTTCCAAAACTACTATAGGAATTGCCAATGGATAAGTCTGGTAATGGTACAAGATCCCTAAGAACTAATTAGCATGAAATTTGCATGAAGCAACCACAATAAAATCACACTTAAACTGAATTAAATGAGAAATTACTAAAAAGGCAAATGAGGAGTTTTTATTGATTAATAACAATCATAATGAAATAAAGCACAGACCGTTCTCATAGGAATTCATCATAAACATGTCCAAAAAACCTAAAATTAAAAACTACAAATAGAATAAACCACTAAAATGAGCTTTCTCAAGTTAATTTTTTTATGAACATTTTTTTAGAGTGTAAACATGTAGATTCTCATCAAATCAGCTTGGGTTGGACAACTCAGCTCCTACAAATTTAGCATGAGATATTCATCTAGAAATTCAGGGCATAAATATGTTTTATACAAAGTAACCCATGAGTCGTTACAAATAGTCTTGTTGCACCATTGTATAGGATATCTCTAGAATCTAGTATCAATAGTTGATATGATTTCGTCATTTAGAATAGTTTAAGGAACAAGCAATATAAATTTGTCTTGCAAAATGTTGGATGTGAATTCATGAGGAGATGCAATAGACAAGAATCTTAGGAATTAGCAACTAGCTCATGAACAAAGATAAATTAGACGCATTAAATTTTGAACTAATGTCAAAACTTCCTGAAATGTTTAATTTATAGATGTTAGTTCAATTATGTTGCAAAATTTTTAGTTGCACTACTTTTCTTAAGCGGAATAGGGAAGATCTAGCCTATGCGAACAATAACGAAGAAACCGAAGCGAGAAAGCTAGACTGCCTATGAGGATTAGATTATCTTAATTTCTTAATTAGACATTAATTTAATTAGATTAATTGATATAATTTAACATATAAATACTTAATTAGATGATTAGGAGTGTAAATATTAAATTAAAGAATTTGTTAGTAATAGAATATTTAATTGTTTAATTTGATAATTATAAGTATAATTAGTAATTAAAATTTATTAAAATAATATATAAAAATTAATGAAATAATAAGTGTAAATAGTAATTAAATTATTAATTATTTTAAATTATAATTAAATAATTAATTAGATAGTTATCATTATAATTAGCATTGATATACTTATTAAAATAACACCTAAATAAGTTATTAATAAAACACTTATTAAATTAACACCCTAATTATAGTATTCATAATTATAATTTATTGGTATTAATCAAACTTATAATTGATAAATAACTCATATTTAAAAAGCAAATATCATATGAATTAAATGTTTTAAATCTTGAATAGCATTGTCAAACATTCTCACAGGATTTGTCATGATTTAACATATTTATTACCAAACAATTTTTAGGATTTAACCCTCTCAAGATTGAAATCCTACTTAAATTAAATCTTACATGCATCCAAACAGGCCCAAAGATTGATGACAAGTGATTGAGCATTTTTTTTTTTTAATTTGGCTCTGCCAAAACGGGTAGCCTTAACCGCATGTGATCGGTAACGGAAAAGGCCCATAAGCCATTCCCGTCCCTTTCTGGGTAGATGCCAACTGTCTCTCCTTTCAACGAACACAAGTGATTGAGCATTAGTTCTATGCTTGTTTGGTTAGGAAAGAGAGATGGGCTTTAACAGTGTTAGTAGTTCCATCGAACATGTGACTATTATTAAGGTGGAGACTAGGCTTTTAGAAGATGTGTTTTGTGGGGCCTTGTCAATTTCATTTTCATTGTTGGATAATAACACTAGTATGTGATCTCCTTTTGGAGATTTGGACGCCCTACTATGGTCACCATTGGACAAATAAGAACCAAGTGATGAACGGGTTTGGGAACCAAATAGTAAATACTCATATTTTACTCATCCCACAGATTATATGGATGGATATCCTTGGGACCTATATTTCAATTAAAAAAAAATGTCATTTAACATTTAATCGTTTGTATTATTCATTTTTACTTTTGTTATTTCATACCGATGATGATGAAGATCAAATTATATTTGATTTTTATTCATTCTATGAAGCATCTAGATATAGATAAATGCAATTTTGTTCTCATCATGTAGCATCAGCATGAAAAATACGCAGACTAACTGAATTTTCTGTTGTCATTGTTATGTTTAATATGCTAGATGTAATATGTCTGCTTCTTTTGGAATTTTTCTACCAGAAATGCATAATGTTCAGCGTAAAGCACGTGAGAATGCTCGAAGGATTTTGATGGAGAATGATAAGTTGAAGCTAGAATTGGAATCGAAGAAGAAAGAGATCGAACAACGATGCAAAGAACTTAATAAATATGATGCCAAAAATGATGGCGAGAAAAGGAACATTGACATAGAGAAAGAAAAGGTAATTGATGCAACAATTTGCGGGGTCTAGATTGTTGTAGGTATGTTTGATGCATCCATTGAAAATTCTGCTGCTCTATTAGACTGCTAGAGCTATTTTTAGGCCAAATTGATGCTATGTACATGGTTAATTTAACGGTTAGGTTATGTTCCTTTGCATAAGCAACTATTGATTTGAAAGGTTATTGCGAGTTTCTTTTGATACTGATATATATGTTATTTCTTAGACTGCTCTAGAGAATACTAACCTTGAATTGGCAACCATTGAGAAAGAGAGAGCTGATGAAGAGGTCAAGAATCTTATGGAGGAACAGAAGGTAATCTAACCATTGCATGATGCGTTGTGGTTCATAGGGATTCTCTTCCAAAATATCTGATTCTTATAATGGCCCGTTGTGACAGAGAGAAAAAGAAGTTGCTTTTGCAAGAATACTTCAGTTAGAGAATGAACTAAATCAAAAACAAAAATTGGAGCTTGAAATTGCTCAATTGAAAGGTAAATTGAAAGTTATGGCGCATTTGCAAGGGGAAGAAGATATAGACACGAAAATAAAAGAAATTCACAACAGATTGGAAGAAGATAAGGAAGGTTTAGAAGAGCTGCACAACACTCTTTTAACGAAGGAGCGAGAGGCCAATCAGGAGCTCAATGAAGCTCGTGCAGAACTGATAGGGGTAAGCGGCTTCCTTTCCTTTCTCTCAATTACTCTGTGTTAACATTTTGATTTTTTCTATCATGAAAATTTCAGGGACTTTCAAAATTGTTGAAAGGTCCTACCTTGATTGGAATAAAAAGAATGGGTGATCTTGATATCAAGCCATTTGAAATTGCATGCAAGAAGAAGTTTTCAGCTGAAGATGCAGACATAAAAGCTTCAGAGCTGTGTTCTAGCTGGGATGAAGAAATTCGTAATCCATCATGGCATCCTTTTAAAATCATCGAACACAATGGTGTAAATGAGGTATCTTTTTGAATTTTTGTTCCATTTCAGATTCAGGACTTGTTACTTCAACAAAATTTGGATGATGCAGGAAGTAATTGATGAAAACGATCCAAAGCTGAAGAGTCTATGGATTGATTTCGGTGACGATGTGTACAATGCTGTGAAGAAAGCTTTGCTTGAGATTAATGAATATAATCCGAGCGGGCGATATCCAGTAGCTGAGCTATGGAACTGCAAGGAGGATCGCAAGGCGACTATGAGGGAGGTCATCCATTACATTGTCAAACAATTTAAGGCTCGCAAAGCTCGGAGATGATGTGTATATATAGTTTTAAGCTACTCACCACGATCCTTCAGTATATCTGGATTTTTATTGCCCTTATGAAGATCGACTACTCTTATGCTTTGTTTATAAGTTGGAAACCGTGAGGCTTGGGTTGTTTTCCTTTGGCCCATCTTGTCCAATGCAAGGCTATGCTGCAAACTTTGCTTTCTTGTGCATATGATGATGCATTTTGCCTGTTTTGTTTCACCTTGGTTTTAACTGGAATGGATGATTGCTCTTATTTTGCAACATTAGATGACTCACTTTGGTCTGTTGGTTGGGAGCTTATGCTATCAATCAAGAGGTCTCAAGTTCAATATCTCTTAGGTCTTATGAAAATATCGCAAAAATGCTTGATAGTGTCATGAGCAATATTATATATATAGCTATTGACTTTGAAAATAGTGATTCATAATTAATTTGTCTTTATGATTTTATTAAGAAGTCAATATGGTTGGAGGATCTTAGTTTAGACATAATAGTACTACTAATTCGTTATCCAAAGTATTTTTAGAGGTATTTTTATGAATGTCATGAATAAAGTTTAAAATTGATAATTCTTTGGAGTATCACTTAGCTTCCAAAGCTTAGATAAGAATTGAGTTCAATTGACACATTAACAAACTATGAATGAAGAATCCAAAATTAGGACAACTAATTTGAGGTGAAAATTTACGTCCGAGTTACTTGTAGAGCAAAGCGCACATCGCATTTATTATATTTTAATATACTAATTTTCATGAGAAGCATGATCTGAATAACGTTCAAATAATATTTGAATAAAAAGTCAAAATAAAATTCAAATACAAACGGTCACAAAGTGATATTGCTTATGAGGGACTTTAATAAATAAAACTTCCTAATATATTTCTATAAAAATAATGAGAATATTTTTTTCAATTATATCTATTGCGAGTAATAGAGTAAGCTACAAGTTGCACCAATAATCCAATCTTTTTTTTAAGAAGTTTCCAGAACGCTTTACTTTTTCCATCTTAAAACTCTTGCTTTTCCAAAATTTTCCTCCGAATAAATCTTCACCGTCTGTACCTGGGTGAACGCTATATTTGACAACGCTGGTCCTTTGAGTTTCCTCCGTCGTGTCTTTATGAGCTTCGATTTAGCTCTCCGTCCTTCCTTCATAAAGTGACGTTCTCTTTCTACTCCGCTTGGCAGGACGCTCCGAAACCCTAATCCGTGTCGGACTTACTCAGTTACTCTCTTCCTTTGCAGCAATATTTAGTTCATAATCGGTCTTTATTTGTCTCTCATTACATCGCTTTGCAATAATCTTTTTCCTTTTCTTTGGACGTCGATGTGTGTTTCTGAACTTCGGTTCCAGGTTTGGATTTCCGTTTCGGTTGCTCTATATTGGTTTTAAGGTGAATGAATGTTCTACATCTTTCATTTTGTGGGCAATGGCGGTCCGTACAGGGTATTTGCTTTTGTGAGCATAAGAGCGGCAATGTGCTGCTCCGAAAGTTCTGTGTGTCTTGAGCGGAGACTATATCTATCTTCCTACTCTTTGCTAGTAGTTTGGCGGAAAATAAGTAAGGAGGAAGGTGATACCTGGTGGAAGCGTAAATAGCAAGTAAAAGAGAAAAAAAGACATAGGAACACTAAGATAGGACTGATTTTTGGATTCTCTTAAATAATAAAACAAAGTACAATTGATCTATTATTTCAGAGTTAAATTGGCTCTCCCACATACGCTAGATGCCGCTAGGAACTCACATCAATACTAGGAAAATAAAACTCTACAATAACATAAACTAAACTCTAAACAACTCCCCCTTAAATAGCCCTAAAATACAATAACATAAATAGATATTTCATAATTAGCATAAACATAGTTTAGAAAACCTTCCAAAATAATTAGGTCATTTTTAATTAGTCTAAATATAATTTAGGAAATATTCTTAATCAATTAACATCATAAAAGCCTTCATAATATTTTTTCTTCCTTACATAATGAATATTAACTTTTCTAGGTCTCACAAGGGAGGGTCGAAACCCCCTCCCTGCTGTTGCTCTCGTTCCCGCACTGCTGTTATGTGGGTTCGACAGATCTGGGCTGATTGGCTCCCACCCTCCTTTGGATTAACGGAAGGCTTCATAATAATTAATTTATTGGTCAATTTAAAATAAAAAGTTATAATTTAAATCGGAATGTCAATATGGGTTTTAAGAAATATTAATTCATAGGACTAGTTAAAAAAAGGAAATAAATGGGCCATGCATACAATGTGGAAGCATGTGCTAAAGATGCTCACTATCTTACTAATAAACTATTCATCGCAATGCCCGTCCATCCATCTTTGCTTTGAATCTGTTTTACTGCTTGATGATTATCAGTTATGTACATGTAGTGTGTAAGTATCTTACGTAGTTCATTTTTTTTAATGTCTTATGTAGCTTTTAACTATACTGTAAATCACTGATGCAACCTATTTGGAGAATCTTCAGGAATGTTAGTTACAGTAATTGTTACAAAAGCAATCCTATACAATGCATGTGAAAAAATGAAGTAATTAAAGATATATTTAACTTGAAATATAAAGAATAAAAAAAGAGTGAACCCTCTTTTTGAAATAAGAGCTTTTTACTTGTTTGTAGATGTGATTTCAAATGAAACTTTTCTTTCTAATTGTGCCTTAATATATTGCATTATTATGTATGGTATAGATATTTTGCTTGATGCACCTCATTTATATTCTTGTGGCATGTTTTCTACTCTACTTCTATTTTGTATGTTTCCTAATTAGACATGTGCTAGTTATTACTTGTATATTGGACAGATTCCTAGAATGCTCTTATTTGTGAATTGAGATTGATTTGATGAACCATAGTGATGCCAACACGGTGATCTGTGTAAGCAGGAACATATCTTGGGATTTGTGCATTCATTTCTTTGATGTGCTTGTGTGGCTATATATGTGGAGGTCCATCTTCCAGAGCTGCATAAGACATGCTTTGGAGGTTTCCATGACATAACACTTGCTTAGAGTATTGTGTATTTGGACAAGCAATTGGAGATCTCTCTTGTTCTTCACATACCCTCTTGGCTAATAGGGTTATTTGAAGATTTTGGAGACTTCATCGACGTAGGGAGAAGAAGCTCTGTGTGAGTTAATCTTGATTGTGAGGTTAGTTGTGGCCTTGTGGGTATTCATCTTTATTTTTTTGTGGGTGTACATAGGTTTTAGGAATGGCTTGGAGTGCTTATTTAATTTGTACATCATGATTGTGGCTTTTATTTTTTGTTAGTGGATCAAATTATGTCTACTCTCTTGTTGTTGTAATCTTGGTGAAAACTGAAATACATAAATATTGATCTTTCTTGTGTTATGCTTTCTCTTTCTCTTTTATGTTTTTCTTTGTGGCACTTCATTCTTAATCTTGACACTCACTTTGAGTTTTTTAGTGCTCTTTATTACAACAACTAATATCACAATCATGTTATAGAGATTAAGGGGATCTCATATTAGAGAAGCAAAAATGAGTTGGCTTATTAAATTATAAAGGAATAGATTTATGCAAAAGATGATCGGAGGACTTGGTGATTTGGTGGTAAAATTTTCATTTAATAGTTTGTTTTATTACCGAGTCACACCATTGTAACATTTAAGGTGAGTAGATGGTTAATTTGGAGTTACAAGATTTTTTTTGGCAAGTGCACTTATAATGTCACAACTGGCAGTACTTGGAATATAAAGTATGGTGCAAACAGTTAGATAGTTCATTTTTTTTAAATAATAGTTAAAACAATCTAAGAAAGTATCCTCCAAAATGTACGAAGAGCCACTTACTATCTATCATAATTTAAAACACATATAATTCAATTATACTCCAAAATTTTCAAACAATTGAACTAGAATCAAATACATATGATTTTTGCGTACCTATTCTCATTTGCTCATCATCTTTTGTATGTAAAATTGTTTCTGTCAGCCATCTAATCTATAGGAGCCTTACCTTAAACATTTTATTTAATGGGAAGTTTCAATCATCCAACTTAGTGGCTAATTAACGTAATATTATATAACAAATTAAAATAAATAAAAAACAACATGCACATGAGTTATTCTTAGTGATCATTAAACCTTTCGTTTAGGAGAATTTAAACATGTGTGCTTGGTGAGATAAAAGCATCATTTTATAGTATATAGCATTTTATACTGTTTTTCTCAAATAATAACTTTTAATCTAACACTATTTCAGGAGCATCATCTAAAGTTTGCATTAATTAAATAACAATTATCTATATTTTAATTTCCTTTTTCTTTCAATTTTTATTTTAACATGTATATACATTTTCTTTTATTACATTCTTTTCATTATCTTATTTTATATTTGCATTTAAGTTTGTATATTTCTGAGTTTCAATATGATGCTTTCACATTTAATGTTTATTACAATATGAGAAAGATTATTTGAACATTATCAAATATTTGTAAGGTAGGCTATATAAGTTAATGCATTAAATCATAGAAGTAATTCTAGCTCCTATAAAATAGAATGCAATCTCCCTCCTCAACTCCTTTTAAAAGGTCAATTTTTTCACTTCAAGGTTATTTCAATGTTGGCTTGACCTTAGTCATTTCTTTCTTAATTCACAATCTAAGCATCATATACGCTCTCATATTAAATTAAGTTTTTTCATTAATTTAATGATAATCAAAAGAATTAATTCAAGATTTAACTCTTATCTTAATTGTAAAGGATGAAGATCAAAAGTTACTTTTCTTATAAGAGGATATTAAACATAGGTGGATGAGATATTTTGATAAACTTTTTAATTCAAGGTTGTGAGAATATGATTAATTTTAGTAATCTTAGCATCCCAAATGAAAATATAGATTTTTGTTTCTACCAATGTATTTGTAAAATCGAAGTCGAAAAGGCTTTAATGAAAATAAAGTATGAAAAAGCCGTAGGATCTGATTATATTCCAATAAAAGTGTGGAAATGCTTAGAAGATCAAGGAATTTCTTGGCTTACTAAACTTTTAATGTTATTTTGAAGACTAAAAAAATGTCAGATAAGTGAGAAGAAGTGTGTTAGTTCCTACTGCACAAGTGTGTCCGAATTATATAGGAGTTAAGTTAATGTGCCATACATTAAAAATATAGGATGGAGTAATCGAGCATAGGTTACAATGTGATACTAGTATTTGTCAAAATCTATTTGGATTCACACTAGGTAGGTCTACTATGGAAGCTATACATTTGTTGAGAGGTTTGATGGAGAAGTTTAGAGAGAGCAAGGATGATCTATATATGATATTTATTAATTTAGAGCTCAAATAAATAGGTTAAGGGACGTTATGGTTTAGTCCTAAGGGTCCTTGGTGCTCTTTAAAATATTTTCAATGATTATTTGAAAACCTCTAAATGAGTTTAAGTAAACACCAATCAAAAAGAGCATAAGCTAATAATGGTTCAAGTTGAATTTGATTCAACTTAATCATTAGATCCTAAGATTCATCTAAGGGTGAATTGGATCTAAAGAGGTTCTATGGTTCATATAGTAAAGTGCTTGAAGCTTTTGAAAACTTCAAAGCATCATACATAAAGAAAAAGAGAGGTCTCCTAAAAGAGTTTCCTATTTTTTATATTTAGAATATTTTGAATTCATTAAAATAGGAAGGATCACTTCTATGGCTTTGGGTGGATCTTAAAATTAATTTTGGCATAATCTATGACTATAGAAGCACATAGAGGAAGGTTTGGATTTTTACTGAGTCTTCAAAGCTCTAGGTTATTTATTATTTTGTTTAACAATTTAACTTAAGAGGTATATAAATAAGTTTATATAATTCCAAATAAGATGGAATGCAATTTATGGGCCTTTCGGGGTTCATGAAAACCCCAATTAATTTCTTAAACATTTAGGATTAAATAAGCCTATTTAGTAGTTTTTTATAATTCTAGTAAAATGAAAACCCTAACAAAAAAAGAATTACCACATTTTTTGATTAATTTTGTCATAATTTAAACCCTAAATGAAATGCAACTTGTATTGATTTGAATAAGTATGTAGTTGGCTACAAGTAACTTAGGGTTTTTTTTTAGGTGAAGGATTCAGCATGAATGTTATTCCAGTCGACGCTTCGCGTCCACTTCTTTGAGTTCTTAAATGAGAACAATCCATAGGAAATCACCATATTTTTATATATTAAAAGTAGACAATGGGGTTATGGGTTGGAGAGCGTCAATAAAGGTTCTTTAATCGGACCTAGAGCATGGGGGAGTGGTCATACACATTCATAAGATTCAATAGACCTAGTTTTTCTAGGTTCGAAGAATTTTACCTCACTGAAGCAATGTTCAGTGGTTTTCAATTGTAATACTTTCGTTTAGTAGAGAAGAAGGCAATTGAAATTGAGAGAGTTGCTCAGACTATTCTGGACATCCACTCACTCTTAGGAGTTAATAAGCATGAAAGGAGAAATGACCTTGATGAATAGACTTGGCCAGGGCAGAAATCCTCCTACTTTGTTTCTCCCAGCTGCAAGGGAGTATAGGAAAACTGAAGGAAGGACCCACAACCCTCAATTTCTTTCTAGAAAACCACATTGAAATCTGGTGCACCTCTCCAAATATAAAAGCTCTCACAATTTCCTTCTTAGACCCAATAGCAAGTATCTCAACTACTGTTCTTCCAGCGAAATGTTTGTATGAAAGCCCCTTTCTCCAATTTCTCTCCAGCCGCAGATATCTCTTTCTCATTTCATTAAAAAAAAGCAGAAATAAGAATGAGCTCACCCCTGAAAACAAAGGAAGAAGCCCATGCCGTCCTTTGATTTTGTCCTAGCCATAGGTGTGTATCCTAATCGAAGTTGAATAAGCCTCTCTCCCTTCTTTTTTTTTTTGGATAACCCAACGACGAAGAAGCTTGCTCCCTCTCGATTTCTCGAGTCGTAGGTTCAAAACACTAAGTTGAAACCCATTTCCAATCTTATCCTCGAAAGTTTATTTACTAGTGGCCTGGATTAATCCTTACCATTGATAACCCCCTCCTAGTGGCGAGTGAACATGGGAAAAGGTTATGCGGACAATTGCTGCCCCATATGCGATTTCAATCATTGGATGTGGGTTTTGCTGACTTGGGAAGGTTTGGGAAGATCAAAACTTTATTTTGCTGAATTGGTTGAAATGGATGGGTCGATGAGCATGATCAAACTTGATTTGGCTCAATTTGACTAAGTTGAGTTCATTATAACTCTAGTCGACTTGATTCAATTAATTTGATGCAATGATTATTTGACTCAAATAAATGAAATTTATGTTGAATCGAACATAATAAATCAAGTAAATTGAATCAATTAATTTAATTTAATTGATTTGAGATGATTCAAGCCAAAAATTTAGTCGAATTCAAATTAATTAGTCAAACTTAATTAAATTGAATTGTCTTTGGTTGAGTCAACAATTATTTGAGCTCTAATACTAGAGCTTGATGGATGGTGAATAGGAAAACTCTGCGAATATAACTTGGATTTAGAAAGCATTTAATTTGCAACAAATAATTTCAATTATTCAATATTAGTCGTCCAAATGTTCATCATGGATCCCTATTTATGGAACTATGTCACCGTTACAAGGATATAATCACATATTTAAATGCAAATCTAGTCCCAAAAAATTGAATTTGGACCTGTGTTAATCCAAGGGAAGGTAACACCTAATTACATAATTTAATTAAAAAAAATTCAGCCATAAATATAAATGAACCTAAAATAGCTTGAAAAAGAGCACAATTTAAATATGTTTTGGTTTGGCTTGACTTCTTGTAATTGACCTATGACCACTTTAGCTTTTGTGAATTATTTAAGCCTGTTTGAATGTTTGTACTGCATTAGTTACTAAATTTGATAGTCCCTCAATTATTTGTATATGATCAATTTAGTCACAAATCATGTTGCTCCAATTTAGTCTCTTGATTATACAAAATTGATCCAAAATGATCCCTTTGGGACTAAATTTGGATAAATTTTATTTCATAATATGAGAGACCATTTTGGATAACTTTTGTATAGTCGAGGGGCTAAATTAGAGCAATGCAATACTCTGGGATTAAATTCACACAAATAGTTTGAGAACTATTTTGAATGAAGGTGGAAGTCATCTTGAGTGTTTCTCCCCCCTCCACTTTGTGGAGTCCATTTTTTTTTCTATATATGGTTAGGATGACAACAGTGCTAATTTTGCATATCATTGATGTATATTTATGGAAATTTTTGGTGGTTTAATAAAAATCTGTATTGTATCTACTTTATATGCCTTTTACGAGTGAGTGCCAATGGTTTTAACAAATTTGCTTCCTCTCTAGCTTTGAACAATTTCTTTAATTTTCCAACCCTTTTTCAGTTCCTTTTATAGATGGATTATAGCTCAGGAGAGGAGTCGGATATAAGCGACTCTCAGATTCCTGAACAGGAGGACAAAGCCTACTCAGAGTTGAAAAGCGGGAAATATAAAGTGAAGCGTTCAAATGGCATGTATAGATGTCCTTTCTGTCTTGGTAAGAAGAAGCGGGATTATCATTACAAGGATCTACTTCAGCATTCTACAGGAATTGGTTCCTCTAACCGTACGGCTAAAGTGAAGGCTAACCATCTTGCTTTGTCAAAATATTTAGACAAGTATCTCACCGAAAATGCGAACCCATCAGTAGAATCGGTTTCTCAGAATTCTTCCAAAACAGAGCAAGAGGAGTTGTTTGTTTGGCCCTGGATGGGTATCCTTGTCAATCTTCTTACCGAGTTCAATAAAGATGGCAAGCCAGTCAGTGTAAGTGGTACTAAGCTTAAGGAACAACTGTCTGGATTTAATCCCTTAAAAGTCCATCCACAATGGAGTCCTATGGGACCCACAGGAACTGCAGTTGTTGACTTCAGAAAAGATTGGACTGGTTTCAAGGACGCTCTGGCTTTTGAAAAATATTTTGAAGCTCGACACCTGGGTAAGAAGGACTGGAACCATAAAAAACATGCTGCTCCTGATATGTATGGATGGGTTGCACGTGCTGATGATTACGAGTCCTCTGGTAAAGTTGGAGAACACCTACGCAGAAACGGCGATCTAAAATCTGTTTCTGAGATTTCCAGAGAAGAGAATATGAAAACAAAAAAACTTGTTGCAAATCTTGCTAGTGAGATTGAAGTGAAGAACAAGCATTTACATGAACTAGAATTTAAGTACAACCAGACCACCATGTCTCTTGATAAAATGATGACAGGTAAAATAACTTTATTTGGTTGCAGTTTTTTGAAGATCCATTGTTCTCCCCACTGGTCTAAGTTGCAGCTTTCTTGTTTGCATATCTTATATATATCATCTGAAATGGTTGAAAATACTTCCAGCTAGGCTTATTATATTATTATTACTTTTTTCGGTGGAAATTGTGTTCCTTGTAAGGTTAAAGCCTTTTTCTAAGAAAAGTGGCGATGCCTTGAAAGGGTTGTTTTGAATATAGCTTATTTTCATCTACAGAGAAAGTTGCATCCGTTTATTTTTACCCTACCTTATTTTCCTTACCCTATTTTTGCACATTTTTCTTACGGAGTGCAGTCACCTTGAGGGATTCTTACGGGAATTGAATTAGTTCGGCTGCAAATATATGGATCAAATCCATATTTGGTGCATATCTGTTGCAATAACTATTAAATACCATGTGCTTACTTATGCTTTATTTTGTTTGAAAAGCATTGCTCTTGCTATGAGCAAATACCAATACTATATTTGTCAACAAAGTGGAATATGGACTTTATCAATATACTTTAACGACAATTCACTGAAACTTTATAGGCATGTTCATCTGTCTTGTTTTTGTCTTCTGTGCTCCTTACAGAGTTGAGAACAGAAATATCTTGGTGTGACCAATTCTTCCTGAAACTTGATGGTCGTTAGGCTTGAGCCTTGACTGTTGAGGTTTATGCTTGACTGGATGAGTTTCAGATCCAAAACGTTAAGCCCAACGACGTAAAACCAAAAATGCCTATCTTGATAGCCAAGTCATAGGACTAGGAATGATTGTTGGAGAATTTTTGTATCCTTAAACGGATTGCATATTTTATAATCGGGCACGGCATAAGAATATGATATATTACCTCAGAGGGTAAAAATATCATCTCCTTATGGACTCAATCATAAAATTTACAATTATTTAACAGAGATTCCCCCACTCGATGTTTGGTCGAGCGGGGTTTATTTATTTCTGGGGTACAGACATCCCATAGGGGCAAGCCCCTATGGTTAATTACATCCCAAGTTTGATTTGGGAACACTTTTGATTAAACTAATGGTTTTCTTTCTTTTGAAGTCATTTAAATGTTGGCTAAAATTTGATTTTTGTTGTTTTAAAATCCATGAAAGTCTTAATAAAAGGATTTAGGCCTTTAGGAATTTCAAGGAAGAACTGATCAACTTGAATTTAGATTTTGGGAATGAAAGCCAAAGGAGGTGAAGTAGGGGCACTTGATTCTGAGATAAAATTCAGGGGTGCCCAAACTATCCTATGTTGGGCTTTATATTTTAACAACCTAATTTTTTGTTTAAGTTGACATTTTTATTAGAATGTTGGGACTTATATTCCAACAACATATGTTGTAGGAATTGCCCGAAGGTTGAGGGCTTATAGGGTGATTTGGAATCAACCCGTGCCTCGGACCCTAAGACTAAGGTGAGGACTACCGAGAGGTAGTGCCTCGAACCTAGATTACTTGAGTATATTGAACCCAAATTTTGGGTGAGAAATGAGATAAAATCTCAGCCCTAGGTTCAAAAATCTGATTTGGGGAGTTGATTGAGCCCAAATCAATCAATTGGGGCTGAAATTGGCTCCGAATTGGGCTCGACCCGAATCGATTTGAGTCGATTTGGATCCGATTTTGTTCGATTGAGTCAATTTTGCGAAATTGAACTCCGATTGATGCCGATTAGCGTCGAATTGGGTTCGACGACGCTCGACGAGGTTCGATTGGGTTTTAATTGATTTGATTTAATTTTAATTTAATTAAATTGATTTAATTTAATTAAATTAGAGTCTAATTTGAGTCGATTTTATCTCGACGTCGATCGATCGAGTCGATCGAGCGCGATTGAGTCGATCGAGCGCGGTCGAGCCTAGTCGGGCTCGATCGGGGTCGAGTCGGTGCGAAATATTTGTCAACAATGATTATGTGCTTTTAATTCAAGATCTGAAATAGCATGGGTTGAAACTAAAGTCAATTAGGTTCAGCATGCACCACATGTGTTATACATTTTAATTTGAGGGTTAGTGTCTTTCATCGAAATATGTAGTTTGCCTTATTTTTATCAAACTTTAAACTTGTCTACCGAAGTCGAAGTACATTGCAAGCTGATTCAGTTGTATGTGCTAACATGAAAAACATCTAAAGCAACATGGACCTATTGAGATGCGGAAAGTTAGATATATTAAGAGTGAAGATAATGAAATTTAATATAAAGGTGAAAGATATTAAAGAAATTGTTGCATTTAGAAAAAGCCAAAAAAATAATGAGTTGAAGTTGCGTTAGGTTTGAAGGAGTTGCATGAAATTAAAGCTTTTGGTTCATATGAGGTGCCTATTAAGGATGGAAAGTCAAGCAAAGTATTTAGGCTATTAAGTAGAATAAGTACCGATTTATAGGAGATGCAAATACTAGTTTGTGGGCCTAGAATAGGAAGTAAACGAAAAAGGAATTATGCCATAACCGGCATAAAAGAGAAAAAATGGGAAATATTTTAACATGATCAATGCAATAAATCATAGAATTGAGCAGTTGGCAAACTGCAGCAGAATAGCAAGTGGGTCTTCCCAGGTTGCAATTTTTGGGATTGTTGGTAGAGCACGTGGCTGTAGCTGGCTAATTTCCTGAAACGGTTGGATGGCTGAAATTATGTGGGATGGCAAGTGGAAGGAATTCTTGAATTGATGGTATGATGCGTATAGTTTTTAGAATTGTTTCTTGATTTTATAGGTTATTGGTTGCAACTTTCATGACCATCATTTCTGACTTGGAAATAAGATTGCCAGATTGTGATTGATGAAGAATTTTAGTAAGTATATCTACAATTTAACGTTTGGCTTGATTAGAGTGTAACTAACTTTGATAATTCATGGTTTAATTTTCTCCTTTATAAAGTGTGTTGTGGTTCTTGGCAGTGGCTGAGGCTCTCAGTGTTGCCGAAATTCTTTGTCGATGGAAATACCCAACTGGCTTAATTCACGCTGATTGGTGAGGGAATGGTGGGGAAAATAATCGAAAGAACCTTGGTATTTGATGATGCCACAACCAACTATGGAGGATTGGATGATAAATCGGAGAAGAATGTAACAGAGAAACTTTGATGAATTCTCCACTCTCAAAGAATTAACCAATAAGTGAACTCTTATTCCCTTCTTATGCCTTTAAATAGGTTTATAACATTTTATTAAATAAACAAGCAATACTTAAAAATACCCTTAAGTTTGGGTATTTAAAAGAAAAAGGATAATGAACAAAAAGACTCAAATGCCTTAATAGTTAAACATAAACTCGAAACAATATTCTGAATTTTAGTTTTGCAAACATTAAACAAAAATCTAAATTATTCTAAAGGCATGAATGATGGCTGTCCAATTTTGGTTTTATCATGATGAATGAGATTTTTCATAATGCAAATTGTAGCTTGATTGTCACGTCTCATTGTTATGTAGTGAAAATTGTTCATTTCTGAAGCCATTTTAGCCACATTCATTCACAAATTTTATGAGGAGATGGCCTTGAATTTTATTTTGACACTGTTTCGAGCAACAACAAACTATTTTTTACTTTTCAATGCGTCTAAATTTCTCTATACAACTGAATAATAACCAAATGTGAATTTATGATCAGTTATAGATCCTACTCAGCCAACATCAGTGAAAAGCACTATACTTCTGTCAGTCCCTTTCATGATAACCATTTCTCATGTGTCGTTTTAAGATAACTTAGCATCTTATATACAATTTGAAGATGTTCCTTTGTAAGATTACTCATAGACTGACTATGACTCTAACAGAAAAAGAAATAATGATGTACTTTGAGATATTTGGATATATTTATCTACTATTGGTTGTTACCTTCCTTTTTTGACAGATGTTGAACCTTTTTTAATGCTAATTTTGTTTAAAGGATTTATTACATTGTTTACTGGTGTACGTACCATCAGACTCTGTTTTCTTTTGTAAGTCAAAGGAGTATTTTTGTTGAGAGATAAATATCCTCTTTACTTAATCTTGTTATTTTCATGATTCGGAAATATTTTAGTTAAACAAGATTGTCGATTTTAAATTCTTTTGTTAAGACACCTTTCAAGATGTTTGTCTTTTTAATAATTTATGATCTGGATAGTTTCATCAACATATAAATTTGTAAAGATAATTTAACTTTTGTTTGATGTCTTGGTAGAAGTGTGAAAATGCTTAGGGGATGAAGGAATTTTTTGCTTACTAAAAATTTTAATATTATTTTGAAGAATAATATTATGACAGATGGTTGAAGGAGAGTGTTGGTTCATATTTTTAAGAATAAAGGTGATGCACAAGAGTGTGAGAATTATAGAGGAATTAGATTAATGTGTCATACATTAAAACTATGGGTGAGAGCAATTGAGTATAGGCTTTGGCGAGATCCTAATGTTCTCAAAATCAATTTGGATTCGTGTCAGGTTGGTCTACTATGGAAGCTATACATTTATTGAGAGGTTTGATGGAGAAGTATAGAGACTGCGGCTGATCCTGAAAGGTAATAAATGGAAAAAAGCATGTTGTAAACAAAATAAAAAAAGAATAGTATAATCATAGAAATAGAAATAGAACGAGAATTTTTCTTTTTATAACAATTTTTAAGTTCAGTAAAGTATTTCGGGTTTGTTGATAAGACCAGAGAGGGAGTTGAAGATAAACTTTAGAGTCTATAGGTTTTCGCTTGAGTAGATCTAAAGCTGAATATATTGAGTGTAATTTTAGTAGCAATAGGCCTAGTGAGGGGATCGTGACTTTGAGCGATCAAGTCATTAATAAGAGTACACATTTTAGATATCTTGGATCTATTGTTCAGAGTGATGGTGAAATTGATGGGATATTATCAGCATAATTCAAGTTGGATAGTTAGAGTGGAGGAATGCATCGGGCTTATTGTGCGATAGAAAAGCCCCTCTCAAACTTAAGGGAAATTCTATAAGATGGTGGTGAGGCCTGTAATGCATTATGG